GTGTGTTTTTCATGGCTATGAGGGCACCAACCTTAAGGAGCTGAGCTCATACGCGCGCCGCAAAAAGATTGAGGAGGAGATCCAGCGGGCCTTTGCCACTGGGGATGACACCCCCACTGCAGCGCCGCCTATGACGACCTCCAAGACGAGTATGCCTACGCCGCCGCCAGGGGTAACACCCCTTCAGCAGAAGCCGTGCCCCAAGTGCTTGAATGAGAAAAGCCATGCCAAGCATAACCCACTGGCAGACAATTGCATTTTCTTCGGGATGGACGCGGACATCACACCGGCCGCAGCTCGCCAGCTCCTCCTTGAACGCGACATTGCTTGGGCGAAAGACGATGCCAAAACCAAAGCCTCCTTCAGCTCTACTACCAGAACTTCCCCCCCCCTCCCCCCCCCCCCACTCGCCCGCTGAGGTCCAGTTGCAGAAGAAGCGGGGAAAACACCGTGATGCGAACACCCCCCCGCCCCTCCCCCCCCAATGAGGCGAGAGCTGACCGTCAACACAATGTGGCGTACCAGGACGACAAAGGACAGGGGAACCCCCCCCTCGACAACCTTGACGACAACGAAGACATGACAGAGAACCTCCTCGCGAATCCTCTCCAAAAGCTCTTTGGCATCCGTGGCAAGACACCGGTCAGAGCCTTTGCTAGTCCCCCAGCTGACTTGGTACCACCGCCGCCACTGCAGAAGGTGACAACAACCTCGGGGAATGCCCCAGAGCCGTCTTCAAGTTCCCGCTCATGCTCTTCGATGCCAACTTCCGCAACTGGGGAAACCATGGAAAGGCCTGCTAAGAAGGCACACACAACGGAGCCAGAGTGGGTCCTCCCTCCTCCAGTGCGAGCGTCAAAATCGCGCATTATACGTGGTCTCACACCGATTGAAGCGGGGGCCGCCCCGGCAATACCAGCCAGTGAGCCGGCAACTTCGACTACTACCTCAAGGCGAACTACACCCGACCTCGTGCACAACGACTTTAAGCTGGACCGCAGCGAGAACACATCTCTCGCACAAGGGGCCTCGACGGACACCGCTAACGTGCCCC